AAAGTACCTTTTGCAAAATGTGTAAGAAATCAAAATTCTGATGTTATAATACTACCACAGTTCACTGTATTTTTCAAGTGACTGTTTAAAGAATGTTATTTAATCCATACGTGAAAATGAACGCATTCCCTGACGAGAGAAGAGGTGCTTGTACTCTGTATTTTATTGGAAGAATGGCATATATAGTGACTACGTTTCTTTTGTATAAAGCGTTTATAAAGTCACTTCAGACTAATTTTTTTAAGTTTTTGTCAGGATAAGAGCGTGCTAGGTGAAGGAATGGCATACGTGAGACGTAACATTTATCATCTTGATTAAACTGACAGGTGTGAAAGCAAAATGGCCGGCAACAGCCTTGTCCTGCCCATCGTCCTGTGGGGCCGTAAAGCCCCCACACACTGCGTGTCCGCCCTGCTGCTGATGGAGGACGCCTCCATGATCGTCACGGGATGCCACGACGGACAGATATGTCTCTGGGACCTTTCTTTGGATTTAGAGGTAAGGCTGAAGTCTGTATAATCTGAATTTTCTTTGTGTTTAAGGTGCGTATCGTTGTTGCCAGCGTGGCTTTATTCTTCGACGTTAGTGTCCATGCTGGTCTCCGGTCCTTTCTACGCCCTGTTCACTTGTCCTTTTTCCTCCCTCTCATGAGGCCGCTGCATGCTTCCCCTAGTGAATATTTCAGATTAGAAAGAGACGTTTCGCTCTTGAACTTTGTTGCTGCTCTTGCAGTGATTTTTTTAAGTAATTACTTCCTCTTCTCTGGAGCTGCTCTAAACTAGTTACTTCCAAGTTTAGCTGCTTAATATTGTTTGGTGAAAACAGATTCCAGTGATCAGAGGACTGTACTTAGCAAACTTTTTCAAGTTATTTTATTCAACCTTTTTTTTTTTTTTTTAATCCATAAAAACTGAAAGAGAAGAAAGGCTGGTAGCAGAGATAAAGGTTGATGATTAATTGTTTTTTGCCAGTGGCTGCCCTAGAGTTGAAATCTGCAAGTGTCTATTTTGAATATGATCTTGTTTGCCTTGGTACAAAGACTTTTAAACTCTTGGAATGCAGTAGCAAAACAATCCTTTCTTGTAAAAAAAACAAAAAAAACCCCCAAAAAACCCTCGACCCCCAAAAAACCCAGCATGCTTCAGGAAAAGTTTGTACTGAATACCTAATGTCTGTGAGTTATCCCCATAAATTATGTTTGTCTGGTATATTTAAAAAGAAAGAACAGGAGGAAGTGACTAGTTCTTTCTAGAAAGGACAAATAAAGGGCAGTTTTCTTTTAAATTCAGCTCATGATTTAAAAATATTGTTTGCATGAGTTTGATACAAGACGCATTTTGTTCACAAATTTGCATTACAGTATTAGGCAGAAACTTTTCTTTTTCCCCATGTACTATAGCAGCATTCAGTGCAAACTTTTAAGATTATGTATCTGCTGCTATGCTAATTAAATGTGTGTGTATGTACGCTAACAGATATATATTTATATAATACATTAAATGGAAATCTGGAATGTGTATATTCTGGTTAAGTAATAGTGCCTATGTTATTTTTACTTCACGTTTTATTTCCCTGATTCTAGATTAATCCCAGAGCTCTGTTGTTTGGTCATACAGCCTCCATTACTTGTTTATCAAAGGCCTCTGCTTCCAGTGAAAAGCAGTATATAGTGAGCGCATCAGAAAGCGGGTGAGTTTCCTGAGGATTTATTAATATGCAGATCTGTTAAGTAGTGGAAATTGAGGGTAGCGGAGAGATCATGTTATTTACATACACAGTATTTTTTTACTTAATCTAATGTCTATAGATATTCCAAATGATGGGACTTCCAGTGCAGATACTGAGCGTGGTGTGAATTTTGGATTCGTGGCCTGAAAGGAGCGTAGGGAAGTGCCCGAGGTCCTGGAGGGTTTCCTCTGTAACTTGGAGTAACTACTGTTGCTACCAGTAGCTTCTGAGTTTCTAAGTAGAGGTAGAAGCATTTTGGTTATAAATGAATCTTCTTCCTCCGTGGACTTGCACTGAACAAGACGGGTCGCCTTCGCTTCTGTCCTGCGGCACGCCATCTCGTCATACTGCTGGCTTTTAGCATCTCTTTCCCGAGTCTTAACGGCACGGGGAACGCTACGTATTGAGGTGCGGTATAGGGTTAAAGTGGATTAGCTGGTTTTGCGGAGACTGTTATTCTGGAGTAAAAGTAATTGTATTTTGGAAAGAAGTTGTAATTACACGTCATAGTATTCCTTCTTAAACGAGTGGAGACTTTGAACGCTCTTAGATTTAATGTGGTACGCATGTGTAATTTGTATGCCTTTCCACTTTACCTTTTCAAAGTTTGCTTTGAAAAGCTAACGTTCCAACTCGGCTGTCCTTCACTAGGGAAAATATTTCACCTGAAAGTATTTGCAAAGGTATTCCTTCCAAGAGCATCAGTCTGTTCTTGACGGCTTTTTCACTCATTTACAGAATGTACTGTTTGAATGACAGACTTTTCTGGTTATAAAAGGAAAAAGCAGTTTGTGAGTCTGGGTGGGTTTTTTGTTCATTTGTTTATTTGCTTTGTTTTTTAAAAGGCTGTTTACCGAAAGGTGGACCTCCAGGCTGAGGGCAATATGATCAACTCTGGTTGAGGAAGAAATTTCTTAACCTCTGCCTATATAAATGTAGCTGGCCAGGTATAGGTCTGGTTTGTATCCAAATAAAATAAGGAAGTTTTTTATCTGGAAAAGGTGGGGAACAATATGACTGAACAACCTTTTAACCTGGAAGCTGAGAGTAGAATGTGTCAAAACTTAGAATTTCCATCTTGTAGTGATTGCAGTATTAAGTAATCTTTTCCTTTGGATTTAGAACCAAAATATGTTTTCATTGTTAAATCTGATGTAAAGGGAAAAAAGGTGAGAAAGTAGCTGACAGATTCTGTTCTGATTATATTTTAATATAAAATTTTAAAAGTGTTTTTTTTAAATACTGTAAACGGGGAATGGCTGCTAATTGGAATGAATTCATACAGGTAACTGTGATCTTTGCTCATAAGGCAAGTCAGAAAAGTATCTACTGGTACAAAATTTATAATTTGTTGTTCAGTGCTTTCAGTTTGGTTTTAAAAGTGCTTAAGAGTGCCAGTGATGCTTCCACCCCTTAACAGCCTGGGCCCTCAGAAAACCCCGCAGTGTTCGTTGCCATCTGACACAGTTCTGTTTTCTGTAATGCTGCTTTCTTCCTCACAAACGTGGAGAAGGCAAGCTAATCTTTGGGCGACGTAGGGGATGCAGTAGGAGTATGTAACGACTTGAAACATTTGAGAGGAGTGAGAAATTCTCAGTTAGGTACTTGTGTTTACTTAACATTGATTGTTTATGATGAACCTCGGCATTTCACTTGTTTCCCCTTATCTTTGTAGGGAAGAAGACGTTGTGTAGATGCAGATAAAAGGACTGGAAATTCAAGTTGATTTTGAGTTTCCTTTATCTAAATACAATTCATATAGTCACTAACAAATGGTTCAAATGGTTAAATTTCTCCCAGTGTAAATGATTTTTAAACTCCTGGAAGATTGAAATATTTTCCATGTAGTTTTAATCTGCCTTTTATATTTTAGGGAGATGTGTCTGTGGGATGTGAATGATGGGAGGTGCATAGAGTTTACTAAACTAGCCTGTACACATACTGGCATACAGGTTAGTACTTCGTTATATTTCAGAAGTCCTGTTCTATACTGCAATGCATGGATAACTATAGATCAGTTATCAAAGCAAGACTGGTTTGTTTCTTTTTAAGCTTAATAATGACATTATCTGCATACTTCAGCATCTCATAAATATGCTGTATCATCAAATGCCCTAGAGCTGGAAATATGTGTTGTGCTTCAGCATTTGAAAAAATGTATCCTAATTAATGAGAGAGGCTGGAAAGAAAGGAGGAAAAGGAGACAATTTTTGGAGGAGTACTGCCGGGGGGGTGGGAGCGTGAGGATGATCGTAGCCGGGAAGGCTGAGGCAGGCTTCCGTCAGCTGCAGGAGCTGGGTGTACGGGGTGAGGATTGCCTGGGGCGGATAACAGGAGAAAGCAGCCTCTGCAAAAATCTCCCCTCATCAGTGCAGAGTAGTAGTTTCTAAACATATAGGCATTAGAACATATTTCTGAAAATAGGATTTTGATTAAAAATGAGGTAGTCAATATCTCACACAGAGTATAATTTTGTATTTTGTTAACATCCATTTAGTTCTATCAGTTTACAGTTGGGACTCAGCGTGAAGGGAGACTGTTGTGCCATGGACATTATCCAGAAATTCTTGTTGTGGATGCCACCAGCCTTGAAGTTCTTTATTCTTTATTATCAAAGATATCTCCTGACTGGATCAGCTCCATGACTATCATTCGATCCAATAGAACACAAGGTAATTATTTTTGTTCCTTTTATTATGGCTTTGCCTCCCTATAAGACAAATACTGTTTTCAACTTTTTCAAGAACCTGGGGAGGAACCAGAATGTTGCTTCTTGTGATCTTGGCCAACACCCAGTAAGCTCTGACCTTTCCAAAAAGCAAAGTATACATAGTTGTTTCTAGTCCCCGAAGAAGAGGCTAGTTTAATGTCTCTGCAGTATTGTCTCTGTTGCTGTTCTATCAAATGGGAGTTTTGGCTCTGGCTAAACTGTAAGTGCTTTCTCATGAACAGAACCTAAAATCTAGCCAAATCGCTGTGTGAGTGCGCTTGGCAGGGGCCAGGCTCGCCTAGTAAATAGATTGTTCTGTCATCTTCGGTGTGTGCATGTGCTGAAACCTGAAGGACGAGGAACCTTCCTACAGGAAGATTGTTTTCGTTTTGTGGTTTTTTTAATAAAAGCGTATTCCACTAGGTTGATAACTTGTTTTCTCCTTGAGAATTCAGAAAGAGTTCCAGAGAGCACTGTGACAGCAAGAGCCTGGAAATTGGCACAAGACTGAAGGAAGGGGTGCAAACACTGTGAATGCTAGGGCTGTCACCTGCATTACTGGTGTGATGTGCAGTATACACTGAGATCATGTGGCAAGCTATACACTGTAATTTTTGACAAGATACATACGTACTATGAGTATTTCTTGTGATTACTAGCTTTATCAGAAGCGCTGGCATAACATTTTCAAAGCTGCTATTGTAGGAGATGTGTTCAATGAATGTGCTGGTTAAAGTACACAATGGGATTAAAAAACCTGAAGACTGCAGAGGGAGGAACTTCTAAAAGCGATGACAGTTTAGCGGAGAGGTATGTGAGTAGGCTCACGTTCAGTGGTGCATTAGTTGACAGGGTTTGAAGTGATACCTGTCCCCACGTCTGTTTTGCTCTGCTAGTTTGTGTTAGCTTGCTAGGCTTTAAATTCTGGCAGCTGAGGCGGAGAGGTGTCTCATTCAGGTTTTCCTGTTGTGGAGACTGCAATTCCTAAGAGGTTTGGGGAACACTAAGGAAGAAGATCCTGACAAAAGGAGAGACTTCTATCTTGAGATAGGCTGACAGCAGTTGTAAACTGCGTGTTCCCAAAGTCCTGGAGTGGGAAAGCTCAGTTGCCATCCCCACAACATCTTAGGTTGCTGGAACGACTGGAAGTGAACTCTGGTATTAAGTCTTTCCTTATACTGCCTTTAATTTTATTTCTTGTTTTGCAATCGTCTCTATATTGTAATCAAGAAGTTGCCCCTTGGATTTTGGTCTTACACCCGGCTTGTCTGGTAGAAACGGGAATGTGTGGGAAGTCTGACTAGCGCTTGATATGCTTTGGTTTTCTGTGAAGGTAATAACTCTAGTGGAGTAATCTTGCAGAGATGGCCTTTGGGAGCCCGCAGCCGAGAGACGCGTGAGCAGCTGTACAGCCAGAGCACGCTTCCCGTTGGACCGCAGTGTCCTTGGAGGCTGGTGTGGGCAGACAGCTTGGCACGAGCAGCAGATCTCTCCTCTTGGGAGAGTGACCCCGTGCCTTTGGGGAGGGCGATGGGACAGCCCACAGCGTCTGAGAGCAACGCTAGAAACAACTGTGACTTCCCCCCGCTTAAGTTGAGCCCCGAGTGCTCATTGCGAGATGTAAACACGGAACTGTGGGATCTGTGTGTGTGCGTGTGCAGATGTGCTTCTGGAACACCACTCTGCAAATAAACATTTGATTTTTGAAGCAAACACTTCAGGAATGTTTTGATAAACTTTTCATGTTGAGGTACTCTCAGTATATTTTTGTACTCAGATATGCACAAGTGTGCAACCAAATGAAGACGTCGTCGTACTTACCAGCCTACTGTTTGTTTTTTCCCCAGAGGACACTGTTGTAGCAGTTTCGGTGACTGGCATCCTGAAAGTATGGATAATAACCTCTGAAGTTAGTCGGATGCAGGTAAACAAAGGCTTCTGAATTAATGATATTTCCTGTTGTGATGAGGGGAGAACTTCTATTAATGCTGTTTCCTGTTTTTCCAGCTACCTAATGATACTATGTTTTTTTTCCTCTTTGCCATTTGAAAATCAGCTTCCTTAATTTTGCTTTACTGATTCTTCAGGTTACCAGCAGAACTCCTAATCTTTCTCATGCTTGACTGAGAGAATTTATTTCAAAACTAAGAGTAGGATGATTTCCATTTTCTACAAATCTACCTTTTTTTGTACCACATAATGATTTGTGTTAATATACAAATATTCTTGTTAATATACGAATACTTGTCTTTTAATTTTTCCTTCTTTAAAAGTCCTATTCTTTCGTTAAGTCATCTTAAGTACATTCCACAGGAGTTTTGAGTTCCAAAGGGAGCTTAGTAACAAAGATTGTTACAGTAATGTGTAACCTCCCAAACTGATACGGATGCATCACTTTATTCAGTACAGGCAAAACTTCTATATGCAACGGCTTGCAGTACAGTACTCATTAGTTGAAAGAGATGGTGCTAATAAATACATGTTTACTCTGTATAGTACAGATAGAAGAAATAAGTCACAGAGTTTAAAGCTTGCCCTGTACTGCATGGGAACTGTGTGTCTTTAATATGGTGGTGGCATTATAGAAGTGCCTTTATCACAATACTTCATATTTTTAAGATTAAATTCTCCAGCTGCATTTCTTATGCTCTTGAAAGATCTGTACTTAATTTTTAAAAAAATATATAGTTTTATTATATCATACTACATTACTACTATTATTACTAAATTTAGTATTAAATTTTATTTAGTATTAAAATTTATTATTACATGTAGTATTTTCTTTGAGAAAGATAAGAAGTGAGATGTGAAGATGCTTGGAGGGTTTGCTGAGCAGAGAATACAGTTTTTAGGAATATTCATTATTAAGGATTATCTACAGCTCGCTCTGTTATTTGGCAGTTCCTGTCTTCCTGTGTACTAATGAATAAAAGTCTGAAAGGAGATTTGCTACACGTCTCATAGACCTCTGGCAAATAAGCTATTCACAGAAACCTCTTGTAAAAGGGATACCTTTATACAGATGTTTAGCGACTATGGAAAAATAACCTTATGATATATAAATGAAGTCTTTTTTGATGAACTTGTTTATTTCCAGAATATTTGTAATGCAAAAGCCACACAGTTTGTGTTAGCTTGGAAGACCTATGTAATGGAATTCCTTGCTTTTGACCCCATCAGGGCACAGAGGTGGTATTCATGGTTTTTTTGTTTCATAGTTTCAAACTTGATGAAATTATGTTTGTTCTCTAAGTGTTTTCTGGAAACCCTTGTCATGCAGCTAGTAATGTTTTAGCTAGCATCACATTTAAGTTACGCTTTAAAAAAAAAAAAAAGGCAGCTGTGAATAGTGAAGAGTATTGGCTGGTATGAAAATGAGAAGCACAAAGATGTAGCTGAACAGGAGCTTATCACAGTCTAGTCTAGGTGGGATATGGAACCTTGAAAGCATGAAACGTGAGCTGAATCTGCTTAGTTTCAGCTGACTATCGATGCAAGGTAATTCATTGACAGTGACGACACTAAATAGGCACCGCTAATCTGTCCAGCCGGGGAACTTGTTAGACTTAAGTGATGAAAGAGGATACCACGTGCTCTTGCAGATCTTCTTATGAGGAATAATAGAATAAGAACTGCTACGAGCGTTTGGTTTTTCCTTAGAAGTTGGCCATCTGGCGTCTTATGAAACGGCATAGTCCCTTTTCCATCACGTGGTCTCTTTTATGTTCCTAAGTTCAATTTGAGCAAGAAAAAAAAAACCAGCTGGGTATTTTCTTGTTATCTGATTTTCACCTGTATGTTGTTCTGTGTAGAGACTCAGTGTCAGACGCTGGTTGCTGTCACGCTGTCTGAGCACTTAAATGGTTTCTGCATAGGACAGAATGCTTATTGCCCATCTTTAAGATGAGGAAATAATATTTCAGGAAAATACTATCTTGCCACAGAGATCTGTAACAGGGTAGGGAGTTGTGATCTTGGACATCTGAGTCCCCACTTCTGCCTTAATTGCCTGGCTATCCTGATTTTTCTCTGCCCTGTCTCAGTAAGGTTGTTTTTTATGGAAGTGAAGAGCCCTGTGAAATTGGTTAAAGTGACTGGCACTGCAGATGGGTCTTCCTGTAAGTTTGTACCCAGTCTGCCTGTTTATACCCACAGCAGGGTATCTGCAGCCTTCGGCTGTTTCAGCCAGGTTTTTATAACTGTAAGCCAGACTTTTCAGATGACGAGTGGCATGGCTGTCCCTCCTTCCTTCAGGGTACCCCAAGTCAGAGCGAGGATGGACAGTCAGTCGAAGTGAGGATTAGCTCGGGAGCTGTGTGTGTGTGTGTGCTGGATCCGGACAGGTTAGCAGTGACCACCCTCAATACAACCAGAAGAGAAAAGTTTTGCTGTGAGGTGGGCCCAGATGAGTCGAGGTGCAGCACTGATGTGATACATCAGTCTAATACGCAGACTCGGCAGAGGTGCTTGGCCAAATGGTTAAGATCCCATGCTATTTGACAGTACTAGATTGAATCTCGGAAGAACGTGGTCAGCAGGGACTGAATCTTAACCTCTGGCCAAGGGTCAGTCTACGGCTGGAAGCTTTGAGACGCGGTGATGCTAGGGACACGAGGAAGGGCACGGGCTCGTGTGTTCAGCAGTTCAGCTCTGGCTCTGCTGGCGTGCTGGTCACGCTTGCACCTGATTAGGGCTATAAACGTGCGCTCTCTAAATAAAAGCGATAACCTCCTGCTGGGGTCATTCTTGCCTGTCTCTACAAGCCGACTTCTTACCTATCACTTCCTCAGTTCTGCACGTTTACTGCGCTTGTACTTGTGACAGTCTGCAGACTTGACTCTTTATCCCAGGAAAGTTTGTATTCAAGATATGATATACCCACAGGAGTAGCAAAAGAAAACATAGGTGTTTATTTCAGTTAAAATTTCCAGAAACATTGACAAGCTCATGACTTGAGCAAATTTAAAACTATCAAGAAATGCCTTTTTTGAAGATGCTGTTATTGCAGAAGGTAATATGGCTGTATTTAATCTCAGAATTATAATTTTAAATAAAATGCAGTTAATTTAATGTTGGTTTTGTTTGTTTGTTTTTAGGATACAACACCAGTATTTGAAGAGGAGTCAAAACCTATTTATTGTCAAAACTGTCAAAGCATTTCTTTCTGCGCGTTTACCCAGCGGTCGTTGTTGGTGGTGTGTTCCAAATACTGGAGGGTAAGGCAAGCTAGCTGAACACCACCTGGCTGCTTTTCACTGTAGAAGCTGACTTAATGACATTGCCAGTAAGACATTTAGATCAAGATGTTCTAAGTCCTTTTAACGTGTCTATATTGAAACAAAAATTAGCTGCTGTCTGGGCATTTTAATCTGTTTTTGGTTAATGACAACAGACTTTTCTGTTTCTTTTCAGGTTTTTGATGCTGGAGATTATTCCCTCTTATGTTCAGTCCCTAGTGAAAACGATCAGACCTGGACTGGTGGCGACTTTGTGTCAGCTGATAAAGTGATTGTGTGGACAGAAGATGGACAAAGTTTCATATATAAATTACCAGCCAGGTAGTCAACAATTAAATACTCCATTTATTTATTTTTTTGAGATAAAAACATGAGCAACTTCAAAGAAATATTGAGTATCTTTGGCTTTTATTGTGTTGCAAAATCATCCGGATGTTGCAGAAACTAGTATACCATGAGCATATTTTAAAGTGTGTGTCCCCTAAATGTATCACGTTGAAGCAATGCTCAGTAATTTAGATTGCCTCAACCAAGATTGCTTCACTATTTTCTGATACTACATTAATTCTTTTTCACTTCCTAATGGAGCTGTGTGATGGGAAGAGGTGCATTTTGCTGTTGAACAAGTGTCATAAATTAAAATAAAATATAATTTAAATATTTCCTTGACCCGGTCCAAATAAGGAAGAAATAAGATCTTGCTATATGGAGTAGAATGTAAACGATGATTGTATGATTGTAACGGAGTACTCTTTCAGCCCATTAAGGGAAGGCACCGACAGCTGAGTTTGTGCACGTAAATGTGAAAATATAAAATTAATTTAAAATTTGGTATCAAAGAGGTTAAATAAATGTAGAATGACAAAAGTAAAATAAAAACTTCTTTTCTGACACCTTTGTAACATGCAAACATCTCTTCGCTCTGGGTTGAGATACAGTTTTATCTTGGAGATCCGTGAATATTCTCACATAAATCAGGTGAGGACTCCTTTGTCATGCTCTTACGTGATCAGAGCATAAGGATGTGAGCAGATCTGTCTGGTGATCTGTCAGAGGAATCCTTGGGTTTGGTGTGTTTTGGTCCCCAGTCTGAGGCCAGGTGTATGGAAGTCCAAAGCAGACCTACAGCCAGGCTTCCGTCATTCTTTTTTCCTTCAGTTCCGAATGTGTGTGGGAACTGAGCTGGACTCACTTGGAGCAGTTATTAATCGACCATGCGCACCCTGTACGTTAAAATCAGGGTAATGATCTGCTATACGCTGTATTAACAATTGAAAAAATGTAATGTTTAAGGGCTTGGAGGTTGGCTTAGTATTATTTAGTTATCTAGTGATACAGTAATCACTCTCTAGTAATACAAGGAATTTTATTTCTTTCTCTTTGTTCTTGAACTCAGTTGTCTACCAGCTAGTGACTCATTTCGCAGAGACGTGGGGAAAGCAGTAGAAAATTTAATTCCGCCTTTATTGTACAGTGTGTTGGACAGAGCAGATAAACAGGTAAAATACATTTTTTGGAGTTTCTTTTATGGACTGCATTTCTCTTCTAGAGAGTTGAAACATGCATATATCATGACAGTTCTTCTCTTTCAAAGTAGACCTTTAGGATTTCTTCTTTTCTTGGAGAAAGTACACAGATGCAATTTCCGTGCTGTTTTGTTTGGTTTGGTTCTTGTTGATTTTCAAATAAACACAGAGGTTAGTGTCTGGTCAAGTGAATCTTCAGTTCCTATATACTAATGAACAATTAGAAGTCAAGTTGTGATGTGCATGATGATTAGGCAGTAACTGAGCAAGAGCTTTTAGAATCACAACTTTGAATTTGAAAGCTTAAATCCGTGCAAAGTAAAGAAACTCAAATTTTGTAGGCCAAAGTCCTCTTTAAGCTATACTTCATTTTTATATTGTACTGTGAACTGTGTCTGCTATAAACTAACATATCTACGACTGCTGTATGATATATCTAGTACTTATACCTACACTAGTAGGTGTAAGTAACTGTCTGATTTACAAATGCTGTTATTACAAGACTATCATAGGAATCTTCTTTTATCTTAACCATTTAATCTGTTGCCAAATTTGGACAGTGAAACATTTATATATTTGATTTTTTTTTTATGTTGTCAAATCAATATTAAAACCTTCTTGCTTCTTTGTGGACCATGTTCCTTACTGGGTAGTGTAACTTCAGTGCACCATTGCAGTTAGAATGTTAACAATTTTAGAACACACACACACACATATATAAAATACTCTAAATATGAATATATTTAGAACAAAACCAAGTATGTGTGAAAATTTTTTTCCTCTCCCCTAAACTTGTGACTTGTTTTGTAACCAACCACAGTTTCTTCTGATTCGTATTGCTGTACTTATTCTTTCTCTTGTAGGAAAGATAAAGCATAAAGTATCTAGTTTTTGTCCTGCTTTTAAAAGGCACAGTGGATTATGTGGGGAAAGTAAATTTTGAGGTTAGTACATGGTTTGCATGTGTTCTGAAGCTGTTAATTTCTTTTTTTACCAGCTACTAATATGTCCTCCAGTTACTCGATTCTTCTATGGACATAGGGAGTTTTCCTATAAGCTGTTAATCCAAGGAGACTCTTCAGGGAGACTGTGTATTTGGAGTGTGCCCGATACTCCTGAACAACAAGATGGTGCAAAAGGTAAACCTAATTAACAGTCCTGTTGCCAAGTCTTTTAATGGGCATCTCTGTTTTGGGGTTTTTTTTATGTATTTTGTTGCTGGGTAAAGCACTGCTGCTTTTCCTACAGATCCATGAAGTCGTTTTTTTAATTGTTAGGTTCTTGTAAGAGTTACAGTAACTAAATTTTTTTCATATATGATCAAAATCTTAATTTACTCTAAGTATTTTTCAGGTATTAACTGCTTTATTCCAAATACTAGCTATGGTTATTGCTGTCTGCCTGTCTAACTTCCTCTTGTAGCTTAAATGATATACTTCTCCAGTTCTCGCATATATCGTCTCCATGTGTAGCTGTAGCTTCACTCATGTAGTCAGTAAATTAATCTCCGTTATGTACCTTTCACTTTGTTCAGTGTTGTAACATGGTATATTTAAACTTTTGATATCTTTTCAGAAAACCATTTCTAATTTCTGTTCTTGATTTCTTTTTTTTTTTTTTTTTTTTAATTTTTTAAATCCTCCTCCCATCTCACCCCTTCCTTTTTTTTTGTTGGTTGTTTGGGTTTTGTTTTTGTCTTTTTTTTTTTTTTTTTTTTTTAAACAGGACTGCAAACAACAACCTCAATATCCCTCCAGGAAGCTTTTGATAAACTTACTCCTCGCCCTGCTGGGATTATAGACCAACTAAGCTTAATACCAAACATCAATGAACCACTTAAAGTTACAGCCAGCGTGTATATCCCAGCCCATGGGCGCTTGGTTTGTGGGCGTGAAGACGGAAGCATCGTCATTGTGCCAGCCACGCAAACCGCTATAGTTCAGCTGCTGCAAGGAGAGCACATGCTGAGGAGAGGTATGCAAGTAAGCTTTCGACAAGCACGGTTGGATTACAGCGCGCGCCTGTCGTGAGAGATACTGAAGTAAGAAATAGTTTCACAAAGTGAGGATTAAGTCATTTTACAGGTAGAAATCATATAACTGCTTTCTTAACAATTCTGATGTTCTACTGTGTAATGAGAAACCTAAGTAATGAATTCACTGTCACCAGCTTGCATCGCTTCGGAGGGGGAGAGGGGTCCCCTTCACTGGAAAGCCTTGGATGTTTCTCCTGGGGTGTTGGGATGCAGTGGCAGAGGTAGGGTGGGCGACATCTCCTGTCTCTCCTCCAGTATTGTTCTGGGCACGGGGGTATCAGCGTGCCTGGGAAGATCTTTTTGGGAAAATAATCTAAAAGAGAATTCCTCTTTGTGCATCGGGTCATTAGTTGAGTGTTACACGTTGGCCTGCTGTTGTATGTTTTGGTTCCAGATGTTTTGACACTTTTGCAATCACAGTTGCAGAACAAATATTTGGGGTTTGATTTTTTTTTTACAAATGCTGATAAATGAAAGAGACGTAAATATTTTTCTGTGAGTATACATACGACCTTGTCAGTTGTATACAAGGCTGTTGGTTGTACAGTTTCCTTTATATAACTGATTTACTTTATACAAAACCAATTTTTTTTTTCTTAATGTGAAGTTGGATTGTCTTGAAGTTGATACATTATTCTGCAAATAAGTGTTGGTGATTCTTGCTGTCATAAAAATACAGAAGTGCCTGTGTGTGTTCTACATAGGGTTTGCTGTGCTTGCTAGAAAGCATAATCACGCAGAGGAAGAAAGTTCAACTATGTCATGCAGGTTTTGCATAGAATACTTGATTCTGGTATTGAATTTATTGGGCCTGTTTTGTCAGATTTGCTATTTAAGACGACAGGTTTTCTATGCAGCTTTTGCAATAGTTAAAAGGTTAGAATGAGAATGATTTAACTAATGCATTTAATCGCAGTGAACAGAAGACTCGCCATTCTTGCCTGTGTTCACAAAAAATATTTTCCTTTCTAAATTCAAAGTCGATGTCATTAACCTGTTCTGCACAAGCGCCAAATGCATAACACTGCAGACTTGCATGCCGCTGTTGCAGCCAGTACAGAGTAAAATTATGCAGTCTTCCTGGTACTGGTCCTTTTGGTTATAATCTTGGATAAATTCATGCTTGATGGGGAACGGAGTTTATTTTTTTCACATCTTTGTGGCCTTTTTAATTTTTTTTTTGGCTGGTATTTTGGGAGGAGGGGAGGAGGCTGTTTTAAGACAGCTGAATTACTTTAAAGTGAGGTTGTACAGCAAGACAAAAGGAATCATTCAGTCCATGTCCAGTAGAAAAAATCAGAAATGTTTTAAAAAGAGACAAGGCTAATTCTAGAAGAACTGTCAAAAATTGCAGTATGTCTGTATGGGGGTGTTTTTGTTGGTTGGGGTTTTTTGGTTTGTTTTTTCAGTTTTGGGGTGTTTTTTCAAATCAAGAACAGTGTTTTGGATTGCTAACTTGTTCTATTGACTTATATTTTTTTCTCTCTTCCCCCTCTCCTTCCTTTTCTTTTCCCCCTTTTCACCCCCTTACCCAATTTCGCAGGTTGGCCACCTCACAGGACTCTCCGAGGCCATCGAAACAAAATTACATGCTTACTGTATCCTCATCAGGTTTCTTCTCGTTATGATCAAAGGTATTTGATCTCAGGTGGTGTGGATTTCTCAGTCATCATATGGGATATATTTTCTGGAGAGATGAAACATATCTTCTGTGTACATGGTGGAGAAATTACACAGCTTCTAGTTCCACCAGAAAACTGTAGTGTAAGTTTTACGTCATATGTCTGATAACCTGTCTCACACTTTCCATAAGTGGTACAGCTCCTCAAATCCTTCCTAAGAATGTGAATGTAATATGCAATACTAAAGATTTAGCACTGACCCAATGTATAACACTGTTCCATTAATCTTGGTTTTGTTCACATCATGTTTTAGCTACATAAAGGATTAAAAATGGATATTAAAACCTATCTAGCTAAGGAAATGCCTGGCATTTCATGATATACAGCCTTAACAGTGGGAGAGGATTTCCATGACATGCAAGCAGCCTTTCCCCTCAAGGTGGTTGCAAATGTGATAGACAAGCATTCCCCACCGCTTAGCCCACAGGTTTTAAAGGCAATTTTGTCTTTTGTAACTTGGATGAGTAGGTAGAATTTAATGAACAAAATGACATTGATTTACTTGAAAACCGTGGTTTCTCTTTTTTGCTCAACAAAACAGGTTCTAATACCTCTTTGCTCATTATGATATGCAAGAGGCTGGATTCAAGAGGATTTCTGCAAGTGAAATTCTGTTTCTAGTGACCGCACTGAGTTTAGCCATAGGCTTATGTGCCTGCCTTTTCTTTATAAAATAGGTTGTTGATCACCATGCGTGGTCCAGTGAAGAAGATACTGTTAAATGCAGACTGTCCACATGATGATTAAGATTTCTTTTCCTTTTTTTAGTTTGGTTGTTTTTTTTTTTTTCTTTCATTAGGCAAGAGTTCAGCACTGTATTTGCTCTGTTGCCAGTGATCACTCAGTAGGTCTTCTGAGTCTGCGGGAGAAAAAATGCATCATGCTGGCATCCCGTCACCTATTCCCTATTCAAGTAATAAAGTGGAGGCCTTCCGATGACTATCTGGTGGTAGGGTGTTCAGATGGGTCTGTGTACGTCTGGCAAATGGATACTGGTAAGGTTAAGTTCAAAGACATTGATTAAACAATTTTTTTAATAATATTTAGTTATAGTTCTGTGTAAGTTGCATCTGAGAGAACAGTTAAAATTTTTTTGCATATTTATATTTAGAAATTTAGCACTCCACGTACTCGCAAAATTTCTAGATTATGTAAGCCTTTGTTAAATACATATCTTAATATTTGGAATAACTCACTCAGTACTGGAGAAGTATAGCTTGCTGTGGCTATCTTCCCCCTACATGTTTTCCTAGTTATCTTGAGAGAGACTAGTTAAAATGCTGGCTGCACTTGTAGTGTCCTCTCAGTTTATTAGTGTCCGTGCTTCCTCAGCAATGTTCTTGAAAGCTTGGTGTAGAAGTGCAGCACCTTGAATCTACAATAGTTTCTTCCTCTGCGGAGTGATGGAAGTGTTTGTCTGTTTTTTTTGTATTGTTTGGTTTGTTGTTTGGAAAGTAAACTAAACTAAAGAAACTTTTAGTAAGAAACTATAAATAAGCCTTAACAGAATGGGCAACAAGGCATACAATAAAAACAGCTTTGTAGGAAATTTTGTGATATTTGAAAGGGAGAAAGTGAGGAAAAATGCATCAAAATATATACAGTACGTAATTACTTCAACTCCTTAACTCCTTTAAGAGAAAAACCACAAATCTGCAGTAACGTCAGAATATTATTTTCAGCTTATTGTGAAAACCAGATGAGAGTTGTTTTTTATTGAAGCTCTAGGAAGCAGAGAGGAAACTGAGATCCATTGTGGAAAACTTAATCCACACAGGTAGTTGGGTGGGAGAGGGAATTCAAAATGATTGAAAACAACCTTCCACTAAAAATGTTGAGCAACTGCAGTCATCGCTCTCTGGTCAGTACAGAATCACACTGTGGTTTTTTTAAACTTGTCTTGATTTTTTGTTAATGTGTTTTTTTTCTTTGCACACTTCAGCTTCATGGAAATTTAGGAAAATTCCATCCCTTCAGGAATATGAGTTCTAAAAATAGCTGTTAACACAACGGAAAGTTTTATGCATTGCATCCTGTGGTGTAAATTGGTTTTGCCCGTAGTTGTACTTGTGATATTTTGGATGCTCTGGATTGTTTCTGCTTAAACTCATGCTTTTCAAAATACTCGCAGGTGCGCTGGACAGGTGTGTGATGGGAATAACGGCCGTGGAAATCCTGAACGCCTGCGATGAGGCCGTCCCAGCGGCTGTGGACTCCCTGAGCCATCCCGCCGTCAACCTGAAGCAGGCCATGACGCGGCGTAGCCTGGCTGCTCTGAAGAACGTGGCGCATCAGAAGCTGCAGACCCTCGCCACTAACCTGCTTGCTTCCGAAGCGTCCGACAAGGTCGGTTCTGTCTCACTTTGGCTGGTTTGAATGCAGTACCCGAAACATTTATTTCCATAAACAATTTAATAAAACACGGGAAGTCTTCATTGTTGTAACTGAAAGGGTCTTATCCAAAGATCTCTGAAATTTTAATAGAAAGACTTAAACTAACTTTACCCAGCCTTGGGTCAGTCCTAGGAGTTCACTTCCCTGGAACAAAAGCTATCAGCCTTCTTCAGCGTCATTGTGCAGTTTCTAATACAGGTGGTGTTATCTAGAGTTACGTTTTAAAACCACATTTCATTTATGTTTTTTCTATTTTGTGCTCTGTGGCAGTGATTTTCCTTGCTGGAGTCTAATGCTTTTAAACTTCCTTTTCATTGCCTGTAGCTCTGTACTGCTTTTACTTTTTCTCTAGGTTCAGTAAGAACAGAGGCTTTGCACCAAATAAACTTATCTTCTTCTAGATAGGCAGTAATTTCAATATCAACCAACACAATCCCTTCCATTCTCTCTAGACGTTGTTCCCCAATTTATGTTACTGTTCATGATGTTACCTCCCACATCAGTGTGCCTTCTACTGGGGTTTTTTTCAGGTGGAGTTTATTTAAAATCTGGATTTAGCAGGATTTCATAGAACCTGGAATATTTGCTGGAATATTTGGAATATACGATCTGTTAATTTGTAGTATTGATAAGTAGACAAGGAACCAGCCTGTGATCCATATCCATCAGAAGCGAATCTCCCTCTTTTCGTTTTGTGCTAACTTTGAGGAATGGAAACAGCATTGATCTGTTTTTTCCTTCTCCCCCCCTATATTGGACATGCTTTATACATTCCTGCAGATCTTGCTAAAGGGGGAGCTAGAGCTTGATTTTATTTTATTTTGGTAGTTGTTGCTGTGTGACAGTTCAGAAAAAGTATTACTAAAATATATGTACAAATAGATATAAATGAGGCCAAAATAACTTAAATGCTGAAATTTAATTACGGTTCAAGAAATACTTTGAGTGTTTAATGCTAGAAGATATTAATGGCTTAGTTGATTCCTAAATATTTCAATGCTTAATGTTTAAGGTCTTTTTAAATTACGTTTTATGATTTAAGTGATGAATTCAAATGGAACTGTCTGTAGTAGCTTGTTAAAAGCATTCGTTAACTGTTCCCGAGTGCTCTATGAATAGAGGGAGAGTGTGAGCCAAAGCATGTTTACGTGTGTTCATTTAGAAATGCAACTTTACAATTTATATGGATGTTACTGAGTACAACAACAGGCTACTTACCAGTCTGAGCAGTAAGTAAATGCTTGTTTTAAGAACCCTGCTGAGCAGACCTTTCTGATAACATCCTAAGGATAAGAGTTGTTCAGGTGTTAGAGCAATAGCTGGACGGTGCTCCTGCACGTGAGTCTCTGGAGGCAGAGGATCATTTTTCTCCATCCTGGTTATTGTGGCATAAGTTGGAAGCACCCTAAATACTTTGAGATGGGGGGAATTCCCTTTTTAACAACTAGTTATGAGCTCTTTTTTGGAACTGATATCTCACAATAAGAAATAACTTGGATTGCAAATTGTATAAAGAGTCATTCTTACATTTTAGCATTAATTTTATTGTTCTGAAGAGCAAATTGAGTACAGTGTGGCATGTATCCCAAGAAAAGCTAGTACAGTGTAAAAAATTTTAAGGAACTTCAGTACGGAGGATAGAACGGTACAAGAGTTAGTTCTGAATATCCTGTTAATTTTAATGTGCCTAATTATTATTCAGTCTGATGGCTTTGGATTCACCATTTTGAAAACTAGCAGGCGGCTAACAGCATCACGCTGCAGAGATGGTAGAGAGGGAACAGAAAAGCAAATGGCGAATTTTAGATACAGGCTTAGTTGTCGATGGTAGTTTAGCTGGTGGGCCCAGTAGCCTGTCG